TCCAACATAGATTTAAAATATGACTAATATAATAAATAATTTAAAATTTAACTCACAATTCATCGGACGAAAACGTGTCATAACAAATTACTTATGCAAATTTTCTTTGAGAAAAATACGAATCACCGACAACTAAGCTCTTCTAAAGGCTTAATTAGTGTAAACTTATACATATTATAAGACGAATATCAATTAATCTTTTAATTTAACTTATTTTATATAAATATTTTACATTTGTATTCATTTTAAGTTTAAGCCAATCGTTTAACAAATAACTTGTTAATCTTCATTTATATAACTGTAAAAAAGTAATAAATATTACAGATGTTTAGAGACTATAAAAACTCACTGATGATGATTCGAAACAATGTTGAATTGAAAAATTCCAGCATTTATTTGATGTTTGATAATTACGTTGTAAGATATTTTATATATCAAAGTAAAGTTCCGATCGTGTTTTTTAAGAACTATGACGTCAGAATTAGTGACGTCATAAATGGCTACGTTCTTGATAATTGTCAGACTTTATGGGTATTGGAGGTAACTTCGTGGAGGGTTTGACGAATACTTAATTTCTAAGAAGTCCGACTGTTGTAACGGCTCCAACGAGAATGCTTTTAATCTATACCCTCATCCCTTTATATGCTAACTAACTGCACTCGCGCAAGTGCCTCTGTAGGTGACACCTCACAATTTAACCATCCATAATTATTAATAACGTCAATAAAAATATTTGCTTTCATAATATGAAGATTATATTATCTTTATATAAAAAAAATAATTCGTTCGTTACAAAGCTTTCCTGTTTGAAAACACAAGACCATTGACTACGCAAACCAGTACAAAGAACGGGAAAACATATTCTGGAATATTATTCTAGTAGATTTGTTATCTTTATGATAAAAGTTGAAGTGAAATGAAATGTCTTGGATATCATGACGATCTTCAATATCATTAAAGAAACGCATAGTTTTAGATAATGTATGCTGACACCATTATACACAAATTATTGTCGAGTTTCGGATAACACTTTTTTCAAAACATCAATTACAAAGCAGGTTTTACATAAGAAAATATAATCCGGCAGTTGGATTTAGATGTTGATGAAAAACTTGTTTCAGAGTTTAAATTGGATTAGACGATAGATATTTAAATTATTTTAAATGTAAAGTGAAATTATATTTTACAGAAGATTAACTCTGTCTTGTGTTACGTAAAAAGTAATTTAGTTTTAAAAAAAATCATGTACATTATTGGGTGGTTTATCACCGAATATTGAAATTAAAAATAAAACTTAAGAAAGCTTGTTACTTTAGAAAAGTTTAAAATAATACTTTTAAAAATTAACATAAAATTATATACCTTTAATTTTAACACTGGTTAATTATTACATCTGTACTGTATTGATTTATTTATTGATGATAGCTTTGTGATTCGTCACACAACTCCCCGTCGCGGTTATCTTTTTGTAATATTCCCGTTGGAGCTGTATCAGAAACTATATTTGTTGTGACCCTCGTCATAAGATATGGTCCTGTCCCGAGACTCTTGTAAATGAATATAATCAGAACAGAAATTATAAGATCGAATATAGTATAAACATACTATTTTTTGCCCGCGACCTTTTGTCCGCGTTAATTTCGTCATTAATAATATATGTATAGCTGACCGGGCGAACTCTATTCCGTTTTAAATAACCAGGATTAGTATTTATAAAATTTTTCCTGTTTCAATCGAAAAGAATGATTGACGTATTAGTTAGTTGTTAAATCTAATGTCAAAAAAACGTTTGCATGGGAAATAGAAAAGGGCTGTTTTTAGGGTTTTTCCCGAATATGAATCAATTTTGTTCAGCTCTTAAAACTTCCCTGAACCTCCACGAACATTTCAAGACTAAGATAAGATAAATCTGTTCAGCCGTTCTCAAGTTTTAGTGAGACTAACGAACAGCAATTCATTTTTATATATATGGAGTCGATTCACATAAAAGTGAGAGCGATAACATATTCCTGCAGTTTTATTTATAATGAATCGATTGAACAGAAATAGAAGTAAATGAAACTAATATTTTCGGATTTACTACACGTTTTTTTCTCGACGTTTCGGCGTCTTTACAACAACGGTTGCTATAAAATAGCCGAAACGTCGGGAGTATGTAGTTTATATCTGATATATCCGAAAATATTCGTTTCATTTCAATGAGTTCTCTCGAAAATCTTAGATCTCATTAAGCAATAGAAGTAATTTTTCTTGTTCTAAATTGAAAATGGTAAATGCCAATTATAGTTCATCTTTAGCAATAAAGTGTAATATTGCTGACAATTTCGTTGTATGTTATTCCTTTCATGGAACACTTAAGTCGCAATTCCCAAGCTCCAATTGAGAAAATGTCATCAATTTCTATACTTGTAGTTATTTTTTTTTCAGCTTATTATATGGACTTATAATATAGAAATTTCCTTACATTCGAAGTACCAAAGGAGTAATTTGTTTTTTACTCATGAAGTAAGTACAGTATATATATATAGTACTAGTTTTTGCCCGCGACTTCGTCCGCGTTAATTTGGTCAAGAGTAATATATGTAGGTATAGCTGACCAGGCGAACTCTATTCCGTTTTAGAGGCCATAAATAATCAGGTTTTTCCTGTTTCAATCAAACAGAATGATTGACATATTAGTTAGTTGTCAAAACTAATGTCAAAAAAAACTTTTGTATGAGAAATAAAAAAGGGCTGTTTTTAGGGTTTTCCTGGCAATTATTCCAATTTTTCTCACCTTTTAAACCTTCCCTGGACTTCCAGGAGTATTTCAAGACTAATATTAGCCAAATCGGTTTAGCCGTTCTCGAGTTTTAGCGAGACTAAGGAACAGCAATCCATTTTTATATATATAGAAGATATATTCTGTACAAATATAATTTATGAATTATAAAATGATGTATAAAAATAATAAGATATACTGATATATAGATATAAAACCTTACGGATCGCACATAATACTTTGTAAACAAGGTATAAATGTACAAATATTTTTCTTTAAAGACAACTAGAAACCAAACCACTCTCTGTCAACTCACACACATGTGTGATACGTAATGCTTACATATACTCTTACAAACTTGTTTTTTTTTACAAAAATTCTATCTATAGTGATACTTCATATTGTAAATTTATGTCCCGACTGAACCAAGACTTAAATTCGGATTTATCCTGTTAAGGATGATTATTTCAAGTTTCATAGAAATATCAGCAGCAGTCCCAAGTTTATCGTGAACAAAGCACATACTATTAATTCAGACATCGATTTTTCATCAAGGCTTATCTTCCTCTCAGCATAGTCAATATTTTTAATACAAACACATTATTAAAGGATCTTCATTGAGTTTTTATTATGTACAACCTATCAACATTATTGTATTAAACTTCTTCATACGTCATATTTTGTGATAACATTATCATCGGATTCACAATATCATTGTTAGTTACAACAAAAGCTTTTGTAACATTTACCAAAACTATTTACAAACAATCTTTGATTATATAACCTAACCTAGTGTCTTGATTATAATAAAATGACACAATATTAACTATAAATATTCAAAATTTCAAATTTGAATGTTCAATATTTGTGACATGTACATATATTATACAATTATTGTTTACAATGTTTCTTATAATAACCAATCAAATTGTCGTTATAATTAAATTAATGGATACCTAATTCCTATAAGCCTCAAGGTACAATTATTCTGAATTTTTCTACCCTAATTATAATTTATATCCGAAGATTAACACAACAATTGGTTATTGATTTATTGGGATAATGTAAATAATAAATCTATATTCAATCCTGTAGTTAAAGATTAAGTCTCAAGATTTTTATGAGAACACATTTTATTGATATTTTAATTTTTTTATCCTTTTTTCTTTACTATATATTACGAGGCTCTCTAGGTCGTTATTAAGACCTATAAACATATTGTAAAACTTAATTTCTAAATTGGAGCATAATTTGCCTTTAATTATTATTGTGCCTGTACCCTTTGTAAATGTAAGTCTTAATTTTTTACAAGCATAGGCTAGTGGCTACTGTGGTACTTAGAAAAAGATTCGTCTTTTTATTTAGCTTTAGATCTATGAAGAGAATACATTTATTTTGTAATAGATATATGACAAAGAATTTTATATTTTTATATCAGAGAAATGTCTTTACAATTACTGAAGTAATATTCATTATAAAAACTGAGGCGAAAGTGGTCGGTGATCTGTCTTTGAGACCGGTCGTTATCTTCGCGCGCGCTAGTGAATTATCTTTCCACGAGTGCATTTTTTCTACTTCTACCCTCATTGTGTCAAGTGTCTAATGATGGAATCGGATTTTTCGTCTTCTCATTAAGTGACAATATTCAATCTTTCCAATTGTTTCTGACTACAGGAACAAAATGAACTCCCAAACGACTGTCAATAATCCCAGTTACGCTACTGTAACACAAAATACCATGTTCCCTAAAAAGGATCAAGCAATTATCATCGATGCTTTAGAAAACGTACAAATCAAAGATTATGCTCAAGCTCTAGGAAGAATAATCGACCCATCCCAAATCCGTTTTTTGTCAAGAATATCAAACAATAGAATTTGCATCTACGTTTCATCAAAGGTAATTGCTGATGAGATCATTGACAAAATAAAATATGTTACAATTCAAAATCAAAAACTACCCATTCGACCACTGATCAGCAGAAATAAACGTATCATTATATCCAATGTGTGTCCCATAATACCACACATTGAAATTGAAAAGAAACTACTAGAAATGAATATCACTCCACAATCACCCATTTCTTTTCTGCGTGCTGGCTTTAATGAAACGGGCTACAACCATATTCTAAGCTTTCGAAGACAAGTTTACGTAACTCCTGAAGATTTTAGCCGTGTTCCAGAAAAAATATCTATGGATTTTGAAGAAACGAATTACTGGATCTATTTCTCATCAGACACAATGACTTGTTTTATTTGCAAAAAAGACGGTCACGTAGCCTCTAAATGCCCGGAAAATATCAATGACACGAACGTTCTTAACCAAAAAACACTGGACACTACGGAGACACCAATTTTCAAGCGCCCACACCCACCCACTGAATCTTCAACTACAACTGACTTTATGGAGTCCGAAACAACTAAAGAAAACAACGAAAACAGTGACGAAGACACGGATGATAAATCATCCCAGTCCAGCTTAGACGAAGCTTATAAACCCAAGAGTGGAAAGAAACTCAAAAAAAAAAATCATAACGATCTGGCATTAATCGACTGGGACCTAGTGGAAAACTTTACATCTATCTCCGGTAAAACGTACCCACTTTCTGGAAAACAAGTTAAAGAGTATCTCACACACACATATGGAATTAAAGATATATCAGAAATCACCTATAATTACACAGAAGAAATTCTTGCCTTGATTGAAATGTTTAATGACTTAATACCGATCATCTCACATCGCAGTGTTAAAAACAGACTCTCACGTATCGTTGGTAAACTAAAACTCTTATCTCGTAAGAAAAAAAATCCTATATAAATAGATAAGTTATTTTTAAAGTAAGTACTACTCCATTTTTAGTTAGATTTAATGGTCTCGACTATAGGATTTAAACTTAATATTATTCAATGGAACTGTCAAAGCTTGATACCAAAAATAAGTGAATTAGATTCATATCTACATAATGAAAAAGTACATATATGCGTTCTTTCTGAAACTTGGCTGCAATGCGAACACAAAATTAAATTTACCGGCTACTCTGTCTTTAGAAAAGATCGAGCAGATGGTTATGCAGGCTTAGCTATCCTGGTTCACCAGTCGATAAATTGTTGCTTTAAAACTCTTACAAGTAATTATAATAATATTGATGTTTTGTGCCTTGAAGTCCTTAATATTAAAAAACTTAAATATATCATAGCGGTTTATTCTCCCACAAATGTCACAGTGAGCGTAGAGGACTACCGGGAGCTTTTCAGTTACTTTTCTCAGAAAACTCTAATATTGGGAGACTTCAATGCACATCACACGGCTTGGTCATACACAACTGACACACGAGGTAGACTTTTATCGGACACTAGCATAAATCATAACTACGTATTTCTTAACAATGGACACTTTACCCGTTGCGCTAAGTTTAATGATAGTACAATATGCACATCACCTGATATATCTTTTTGTAGTGCCGATCTCTCACTCGACTTTGATTGGAATATCACTAACGAATCTCTTGGCAGTGATCATCTCATTATTTCTATTAAAACATTAGACAGTACTCAAAACAGCCCTGAATTAAAAAGGAACATCAAACAGGCCAATTGGGTAGAGTACACAAAACACATAGAATCTTCATGTGAGGGAATAGATTACGGAAATGATATACAAAGTAACTACGATAAATTCATACGGATAATTGAGGAAAGTGCTAACAAAAATATACCATATATTAAAACCAGTTTTAATCCTAACAAATTCAAACCAAAGCCATGGTGGAATCCTGATTTATCGAAGGCAGTAGCAGAGAGACGATTATCTCTTAAGAACTTTAGGAAATTACGCACGGTCGAAAACTATTTAATTTATAAAGAAAAAGTAGTTATTGCTCGAAAATTAATAAGACTCGCTAAACGGAATTCCTGGCAAAGGTTTTGTGATAGCATAGACTGTAACATGGCCAGTTCTGAGGTTTGGAGGAAACTCAGATGGCTTAAAGGTTACCGAAACCCTGTTAATTACTTATCAGAAAGTACCGCAGTCTCCTTTGTAACAGAACTCACCCCCGACAGTGTTTCCTTCCAGCCCCTAAATTCCAGTATTGATAATTCCAATCCTTTGTTTTTCTCATTTTCGGAACTTAATCTTATTCTTAAAAGAGTAGATACTTCGGCTGGTTTAGACAGTATTACTTATTCTATGATTAGTCATTTACCAGACAATGCTAAAAAATATCTCCTACACATATTTAATACAATTTATAGAACAGGCGAGATACCATATCAGTGGCGTAGGATCAAACTTATTGCCATACCTAAAAGAGACACTGAGAAGTATCGTCCTATCTCACTTATCAACTGCCTTTGTAAAACCTTTAATTTAATGATTACTCGTCGTCTTGAACACCATTTCGAAAGCAAGAAATTATTTAATAGTAGCACGTTGGGTTTCCGCCGTGGATTTTCTTGTCAAGACAATATTAGCAGTTTTATTGTAGACACAGAAACTGCTTTTATACATAAGAAATTCGTTTTGTGCGCTTATGCAGACATAAGTAACGCTTATAATGATGTGGCAATCGAACCTCTTATTACCTCTTTAGTTGGATATGATGTCGATCCGTTCATATGTAGATACATTAGGGAATTTTTAAAAGAAAGAATTTTGATATATAGGCTGCGCGATGGTACAGAAATAAAAAGAATAAGCAGACAAGGTTTAGCTCAAGGTGACCCTATGTCACCCATTTTATTCAATATAATCACAATTAAATTATGCAACACACTGGCTAAGATAGTCAAGGTCTCACAGTATGCCGATGACTTCGCTTTTTATTGTATTAATCAAAGTATTGATTTTTGTGCTAGTGTCATCCAATCAAGTCTTAAAATATTTATAGCTATGTTACAGGAAATAGGATTAGAAATATCTCCCTCAAAGACTAAAGTGTGCATCTTAACTAGAAAATATAAAGTGCCTCCTATTAATATACGAATAAACAACAATGAAATTAAGCTTATTAATTGTACAAAGTTTCTGGGCGTATGGGTGGACAGTCGGCTGAACTGGACGCGGCATGTGTTAGAAACTGCTCAAAAATGCACTACATTTGTTAATATCCTTAGTTCTATAAGTAGTTCAAAGTGGGGTGTCCATCCAACACATCTAAGAAGACTGTATTTTGCAATGGTTCGATCTCGACTCGATTATGGAGGTATCATTTACGGTAACGCCAACTCTAGGCTCTTACAGAGGTTGGACGTTATTCAAAACCAATGTCTTCGGCTTTGTGGTAGCTTTATTCGAGATACTCCAATTTTTGCAATGGAAAGCGAACTATGTATACCACCCTTAAGTTTTAGAAGAATATATCTGAGTGACAAATACTTTCTGAAACTTTCTTTCAGATCATCCGACTATTTGAGAAAACAACTTGAAACATTACACACAACTTTAAATTCGGGTTCAAAATATTGGCGCAAAAACCAAATTCCACTTCTGCTAGAGAGTTTCAGAAGGTTTTCAAACTTACCTGTGTCAAGATTTGAGATTTTGCCCCAATTTTTGTTATCTTTTGATATTAAAACATTTCCTTGGGATAATATTATCTCATATAGAGTGAACACTATTAATGAATCTAAAGCTCAATTACCCATTCACGATCTTAAGCGACTTACCGAAGATATGATAGACATACAGTTTTCAGACTACATTAAAATTTACACCGATGGGTCCAAAACAAGAGACGGTTCTAGTTGCGCGTTCTACGATACAGCTACAGATTTTGGGGCCAAATTTCTAATTGAAAATTCATGTATACCCATCATGGGAGTTGAACTGATAGCAATTAAAGAAGCAATGCATTATATAGAATCAACATCATACCATAAAATTGTAATCCTTACTGACTCGAAGAGTAGTCTACAACATTTGTTGAGAAGTGCTAGGGGCGGTTGTGTCGGTAGAAATGAAGCTTACCTCGTTATTAAATGTATCTATAGATTGATACGTAACGGGGTTGAAGTTCGTCTACAATGGATTCCCTCACACGTGGGCGTCAGGGGCAACGAGGTAGCAGACTCCCTTGCATCCAAAGCTCTACGGAACGGCATACCTCTCGATATCACACCGCACTATACTGACTACTTTCCAAAAATTAAAAACGAAAATTATCTTAAATTTAAATGTTATTTTAGTGAGTGCTCTCAAAACAGGGGCCTCTGGTACAGAAGCATTGTAGACGAACCACCACGCATACCCTGGTTTGCTTCAAGAAACCTCAACAGAAAATATTTAACTATTTGTTTCCGAACCCGTACCTATCACATCCCACTTAACAAGTTTAACTTCACAATGAAAAAAAGAGACGATCCAAACTGTAAACGATGTGAGAGAGAAGAGGACCTCCTACACCTAGTTCTTGAGTGTAAAATCAACGAACAACCTAGGTTGGATTTCCTAAATGAAACTCGATGTTCTAGGGGTGAGCTTCTCTTCTCTCTCCATCAAATCTTAAGTTCAAATTTCACAGCCGAACATAGTGGTAGATTTGTAAGTTTCATCATAGACTCATTGAATCGTAGATCTGACTATTATAAAAATGCTCATTAAATAATAATCTCAAATGTTAACACTTATAGTATAAGAATTTTTGTTTGTATTTTATTGTTATTATTGTATTATTGTTATTATTTTTGTATTATTGTTATTATTTTTAAGTCGCCTTAATCTCTGGATGTATGACTTATAAAATAAACAAGATTAAAAAAAAAAAAAAAAAAACTGAGGCGAAATTGACTGCGTATGTGTGAATGATTTTTAATATTTTCACAACAGTATTTTAATTACAACTTTATGATATAACTGTATTAAAACTGATCACACTTGTAATAAAGTACGTAAAATCTCATTTTAATTCATACTTTGTCAGGTTAAATATTTCCAAATGTCAACAACCAAGAAATCACTTATCAAAACTGACAAGTGTGTAATTTATGCTCTCGCCATGTTGAATTCGAAATAAGACACTAACTTGATTGTAAGAACGATACTCGTACTGCTTTGACGACATTTAACACTCTATTGTTTCCAAAGTCACTTTTAAAGAAGTTAATTGCAAATTGTTGAATTGCTTCTTCTCATTTTTTTTTTTTTTTTTAATCTTGTTTATTTTATAAGTCATACATCCAGAGATTAAGGCGACTTAAAAATAATAACAGATACAAACAAAAATTCTTATACTATAAGTGTTAACATTTGAGATTATTATTTAATGAGCATTTTTATAATATTCAGATCTACGATTCAATGAGTCTATGATGAAACTTACAAATCTACCACTATGTTCGGCTGTGAAATTTGAACTTAAGATTTGATGGAGAGAGAAGAGAAGCTCACCCCTAGAACATCGAGTTTCATTTAGGAAATCCAACCTAGGTTGTTCGTTGATTTTACACTCAAGAACTAAGTGTAGGAGGTCCTCCTCTCTCTCACATCGTTTACAGTTTGGATCGTCTCTTTTTTTCATTGTGAAGTTAAATTTGTTAAGTGGGATGTGATAGGTACGGGTTCGGAAACAAATCGTTAAATATTTTCTGTTGAGGTTTCTTGAAGCAAACCATGGTATGCGTGGTGGTTCGTCTACAATGCTTCTGTACCAGAGGCCCCTGTTTTGAGAGCACTCACTAAAATAACATTTAAATTTAAGATAATTTTCGTTTTTAATTTTTGGAAAGTAGTCAGTATAGTGCGGTGTGATATCGAGAGGTATGCCGTTCCGTAGAGCTTTGGATGCAAGTGAGTCTGCTACCTCGTTGCCCCTGACGCCCACGTGTGAGGGAATCCATTGTAGACGAACTTCAACCCCGTTACGTATCAATCTATAGATACATTTAATAACGAGGTAAGCTTCATTTCTACCGACACAACCGCCCCTAGCACTTCTCAACAAATGTTGTAGACTACTCTTCGAGTCAGTAAGGATTACAATTTTATGGTATGATGTTGATTCTATATAATGCATTGCTTCTTTAATTGCTATCAGTTCAACTCCCATGATGGGTATACATGAATTTTCAATTAGAAATTTGGCCCCAAAATCTGTAGCTACATATATCGTAGAACGCGCAACTAGAACCGTCTCTTGTTTTGGACCCATCGGTGTAAATTTTAATGTAGTCTGAAAATTGTATGTCTATCATATCTTCGGTAAGTCGCTTAAGATCGTGAATGGGTAATTGAGCTTTAGATTCATTAATAGTGTTCACTCTATATGAGATAATATTATCCCAAGGAAATGTTTTAATATCAAAAGATAACAAAAATTGGGGCAAAATCTCAAATCTTGACACAGGTAAGTTTGAAAACCTTCTGAAACTCTCTAGCAGAAGTGGAATTTGGTTTTTGCGCCAATATTTTGAACCCGAATTTAAAGTTGTGTGTAATGTTTCAAGTTGTTTTCTCAAATAGTCGGATGATCTGAAAGAAAGTTTCAGAAAGTATTTGTCACTCAGATATATTCTTCTAAAACTTAAGGGTGGTATACATAGTTCGCTTTCCATTGCAAAAATTGGAGTATCTCGAATAAAGCTACCACAAAGCCGAAGACATTGGTTTTGAATAACGTCCAACCTCTGTAAGAGCCTAGAGTTGGCGTTACCGTAAATGATACCTCCATAATCGAGTCGAGATCGAACCATTGCAAAATACAGTCTTCTTAGATGTGTTGGATGGACACCCCACTTTGAACTACTTATAGAACTAAGAATATTAACAAATGTAGTGCATTTTTGAGCAGTTTCTAACACATGCCGCGTCCAGTTCAGCCGACTGTCCACCCATACGCCCAGAAACTTTGTACAATTAATAAGCTTAATTTCATTGTTGTTTATTCGTATATTAATAGGAGGCACTTTATATTTTCTAGTTAAGATGCACACTTTAGTCTTTGAGGGAGATATTTCTAATCCTATTTCCTGTAACATAGTTATAAATATTTTAAGACTTGATTGGATGACACTAGCACAAAAATCAATACTTTGATTAATACAATAAAAAGCGAAGTCATCGGCATACTGTGAGACCTTGACTATCTTAGCCAGTGTGTTGCATAATTTAATTGTGATTATATTGAATAAAATGGGTGACATAGGGTCACCTTGAGCTAAACCTTGTCTGCTTATTCTTTTTATTTCTGTACCATCGCGCAGCCTATATATCAAAATTCTTTCTTTTAAAAATTCCCTAATGTATCTACATATGAACGGATCGACATCATATCCAACTAAAGAGGTAATAAGAGGTTCGATTGCCACATCATTATAAGCGTTACTTATGTCTGCATAAGCGCACAAAACGAATTTCTTATGTATAAAAGCAGTTTCTGTGTCTACAATAAAACTGCTAATATTGTCTTGACAAGAAAATCCACGGCGGAAACCCAACGTGCTACTATTAAATAATTTCTTGCTTTCGAAATGGTGTTCAAGACGACGAGTAATCATTAAATTAAAGGTTTTACAAAGGCAGTTGATAAGTGAGATAGGACGATACTTCTCAGTGTCTTTTTTAGGTATGGCAATAAGTTTGATCCTACGCCACTGATATGGTATCTCGCCTGTTCTATAAATTGTATTAAATATGTGTAGGAGATATTTTTTAGCATTGTCTGGTAAATGACTAATCATAGAATAAGTAATACTGTCTAAACCAGCCGAAGTATCTACTCTTTTAAGAATAAGATTAAGTTCCGAAAATGAGAAAAACAAAGGATTGGAATTATCAATACTGGAATTTAGGGGCTGGAAGGAAACACTGTCGGGGGTGAGTTCTGTTACAAAGGAGACTGCGGTACTTTCTGATAAGTAATTAACAGGGTTTCGGTAACCTTTAAGCCATCTGAGTTTCCTCCAAACCTCAGAACTGGCCATGTTACAGTCTATGCTATCACAAAACCTTTGCCAGGAATTCCGTTGAATTTTAGATAAATATAAATAATCCTGATATCTGTCTGCGTTTCACCGTCATAATTCCCGTTTTCGTATTGTTTTGGGAATAGAATCTATTCTTTGACTTGTTAATTGTATTTAAATATCAAATTCTTTCTTATATCTATTTTTTTCGTTTAAGTTTAATGTTTGAACTTATTTTATCATTTGAAAATACAATAGCTGATATATAAATTAGTATTGTCGAGTGATTCTTTTCAAAACATTCAATATTTTTCAAGCTGAAGTGCTGTAGCGGAGAAATCATAAATACGATGCTTATTGACAGAATAACTTTAGAGTTCTATTGCTTTGTAAAGAACTCCAAGGCAATATTGGTTTATATTTATACAATAAATGTGATATTTTTTTGCTAACGTGAAAAATATGACAGATTTTATCAAACGCCGACTTCGACAGAATTGTAGCCTTCTTTATTAAACCACATAAGAGTGATTTTATGAGTTTCAGATCGGGTAAATCGAATTTCATTTGCCTATGTCTCTTGATTATGTACATATGTACATTATGTACATTATGTACATTATGTACATTATGTACATTATGTACATTATGTACATTATGTACATATGTAACGTAAATTTTACAAACTCGCTTCCTTTCATAGCCAGTTCATAAAATATATACAGCGTGACTGGTGAATTACTATCGATACTTGAGGACGTGATATTTGACGATCATATATGACAGAATAAAAATTAATATAACATAAATATTAACAAACTTCTAAGTAAAGTTAACCAAAAGTTGTGTAATTAATTACGCATCGTGTGAACACCCTACAGATTAGGTATACACACACACTCACACATACGCGTTTGGCGGCGTGGTGTTGTATCAGCACGCCGCCGCACGCGTCCACACTTGGAACACTTGGAACGTGTCAACACTTTATTTATTTATACGGAAATTTTGTCAAAAATTAAGTGCCTATTTTTTTTACATGATTCTCATTCGAATTATATATATATACTAGTTTTTGCCCGCGACTTCGTCCGCGTTAGTTTCGTCATTAGTAATATATGTATAGCTGACCAGGCGAACTCTATTCCGTGTTAGAGGCCATAAATAATCAGGTTTTTCCTGTTTCAATCAAACAGAATGATTGACATATTAGTTAGTTGTCAAATCTAATGTCAAAAAAAGCGTTTGTATGGGAAATAGAAAAGGGCTGTTTTTTGGGTTTTCCCGGCAATTATTCCAATTTTTCTCACCTTTTATACCTTCCCTGAACCTCCACGAACATTTCAAGACTAAGATAAGACAAATCCGTTCAGCTGTTCGCGAGTTTTAGCGAGACTAAGGAACAGCAATCCATTTTTATATATATAGAAGATATATTACATAAAGAGGGAGCGAAAGGAGTTTTACTTCAGCCGTGTGGTCAAAACCATACTAGTTTAAATTAATTTTTTTAAACATGATTCTAGTTATATTTTTACATCCACCTAGTAGTAACAAAGTATATATTAGTGTATAACAAAGTATATTAAATCTAATCCAATAACATTAGACAACACGACAAAACAAAAAATATATCATAGATAAGAGTAGAAGGTATTCAGTTGAATTTTCCGACTCGAACTTCACTTTCCACAATGGACCCAAATCATAGCTAAAAGTATGAAGAGGAATTAATGGATATTAAAATATTTCTAAATAATAAACAAAATATGTATTTTGTTTGCAACGACAAAACATGATAATTTATTAAATTATATAGGGTGGCAACCGGAAGTTCCAGGAAAACTACGAAACATACCTACTTATATGTATATTATAATAAGAATGACATGTTAAAACTTTTAATCTATACGTAAGACTACATGATTGACCAGATTTTAGGATGACAATAACATTCTATTGCTTGTATGGTATAAGGAATCTTCTTGTTCACACGGCTTGGTGTTCGTTCCACAGAGTCAGCGGCGTCACTCGTTATATGATGTTTTACCCATACAAAGATGTAGCCCCGGCGATGTTCATTGTTTATTAATTTGTAGCGCGTACTAAACAATTACAATATTAATTGTGTCATGAAGCAAATTGAAATAATAGCAAAAATAAACAATTAAGCAACATTAATGTTTATTAAAGAGATAATTTTGCTTGTTGATGACTTCGTATGGTGTTCCAAATATGTTCGCTCTGAAACGTCGCTGTTATTTTCTGAGGTGAAAGGTCCCTATTGTTTATTTAACAACCGGTGCTCTATCGGTTTATTAATCTATTTAAAACAACAGAAATAACTAGGTTGAAATTTATATCGCCATATTATTTACAATGACTGAAATCAAATTGTTTATTTTTTACCATTGAATTACTTTTAAATTACATGTTATTTTTATTAATTTTTTGACATTTAATTGCTGGTATTCGTCAACATTGATATTTTATATAGCTTCACCTGAAATTTTTTTTTTAAAAAGATGGTGCCAAAGTTATATACGTCATGAGAATATATTGTTTTATCCTTTTTAATAAAACAAACAGCAGCCAACCGGTCATGAGTCAAGATGTATATGTTGCAGGTACTCAAAATTTATAATTAATTTTATTTATTTATTTCCTTTTAATAATAATTGATACTCCAAAACAATAATGTATTTCAAAACTTATACTGTTTAAAATTGAATATAAAAGATGTAAGTAAAGTTGACGCTACAGATTCCTGCTGTTTGAAGTCGGTTAAAAGTGTTGTCCCTTTGGTTTTCATGATGATTTTTTTATTATAATTTCTACTGTGATTTTTGATGCTTATCGAAATATTATAGACGAAATATTGATTTACTGACTGACTTTCTATGACTCCGACACGACAAAGTTGCCGTCGCTGTAGTAGTTAATAAAGAAATATAATTCATCGTTACATAGTACAATAGTCAGTGGAATTAGGTATATTCGAAGAATATTACTAGCTTACACGTATATTATTATAATATATTTAGATACGTATCAAGTTAGTATTCAAATATTGACGAAGCGAACTAAAATTATTTCATTTCGTTCCTCACAGACGTTCAAACACTTTTATTTATAGAGAAAAAAGATTGTTGTAAAAAGTAACGAACGATTTAAATATGTATGGTCTTAGAGGAAATGAAGAAAAAAATGAAAATTTTTGAAAACAGTCGGACTTGTGTCATTCGTA